TTAGGATGGTAATTAATTTCTGTCCCTGCTTGAACTAAACTATTCAAAGAGAGAATCTCATCATGGCAAATAAAGCCCAATGAAGTCAATGAGAGTCTTTCCATTTCATTTAATGAGCTTTCAATCAAGCTCATTCAGAGATGGGCTGAGGAAACAAGAGAGAGTAACCCTATAGAGAGTCAAGAGACAGGAAAGTTTTGGCTTGTCCATCCTCAGAGGCCTTTTTAGCCTTTGTACTTCCTAAATATTCTCATGAGATAAAGAGTCCTTGATATACAGTTTCTAGGGAAATCCAGAAGGCTTTCTGCAAAGAAATGAGGAAAGGACATTTTCAAAAACTGTATTAACATTATAGAAGTCTTAAGGAATAAAAGGGATGCTGTGTTAGCTCTTAAAATGATACTCAAGCCCCAAACAGATATTTCTCCAAGACAATATTTCTCTAACAAAAGGTCTTAATTTTTCCATTGCTTTCACAACATTTATAACAAAATGTTGGGAGAAAGTAGCAATTGCAGCTCCATACAACTTTGAGGTCCTGAATTCTATCCATATGTGGAAGAGTTCACTAAATTATTAAAATCTTTGCCACTGAAACACATCCTGAGATTCCACTTGTTATTTTTAGAGATAAAAGCAAAAAACTTCTCTATTTCTGTAAATGGATATTGTTTATTGTTGTTCTCCTCTAGACTTGCGGGACATCCATCATCCTTGAAAAGGTAGGGAGAGGGAGGAAGAAAAAATACTGTACTACTTCTAATTTTACCTTCCACTGTCCAAGCCATTAGTGAAAACATGAAAATATTCTTATGGTTGGTTGATTTAGTTTGTTTTTGCAACAGTACCCTTACCTGCCTGGTAAGGAGGATTAGTTTGCTGACTGCAATCTACTTTAGAAGGGCAAACCTAATGCCATTCAGTCTTGAAGCTTTTTTTTAAGCCAGAAAGACCATTCACTCTCTTGAAGTTTCGCCACTGGAAAAATTACTTTCAGTGTCAGGATAGAACATTGATGTTTATGACTCTCTTTTCAAATCACAGAGAAAGACATGATTTCTTTGCAAAGAAAATATTTCAGTTTTATCTTGCTTGATAGTTGGATGTGTTGACTACTTAGCTAGACAAAAAGATGCTCCAAAGAGGAGTAAACGTAGGCAAATAAAATGAACTTTTTGTTTCCAAGAATAAGTTTGGTACATGTCTGAAAAGAGCACTATGACAATTAGGAGATTATTCCAAATTAAGGAACAAATAAGGTTAATCAGGATACAGACATTTTCAGCTTTAAAAAACACAAACCACCACTGAAAGCCATAAATCTGTCAAGCACAGAAAATCCTGTAGGAGTTCTAAAGGATGCATTCCAGAGGTGTCGTAACTGTGGAGTTGTTAAAGCAGTGTTGATTTTTTTCCACTTAAATCAGGATTAAAATCGTTACCATACTTAAATAATTTAATTTTGTCTTTAAAATGTGCCACCAGAACTCTTCAGAGGATGATTGAATTTTCTATACTTCTTTGGTCAAAAGACTATTTTAAAATGAGCCCTTTTTGAAAAAAAAAAAAAAAGTTTTTAAATCTCTTATAGCTAAAGAACCAGTCCCTATAAACTCCATCGTCTCACACACACACACACACACACACACACACACACACCCCCTCCGGGATAGGATCATTTTCAAAGTTCGAAAGAAACACATGCAATAGAGTTATTCCCCTTATTTGTCACTCTAATTCAGCTCTACAAAGGGAAGAGAAGGAACTGCTCAGTTGCCCTATTTCTGTTCTCAAAAATTATTTTCCTATTTCTCTAGTCCTTGTGCCCTGTCCTCACCGACATACTTTACTCTATGCACCTCTGGTCCTCCATCTTTCCATGCTTCATACTCTAATTTGTTAAACCTAGCAGGGGTTATGCTGATTTAAAAGAATGAGCTTCCTTTGATATGAGGGCACAGGACATCCTTTCAGACAAGCGTCAGAAACAACAGCTATGTCAGTAATGAAGCTGCAAGTTCCCTTTCTTTGGCATCTTTAGCGCCTCATTCTTTTTTATGCATCTATGACTGTGTTCAATTCTGGTCGCCTTATCTATAAAGAATATAGCAGAAAGACAATTCCATGAAAAATTATGGAAATTATTAGAGGCCATGAGAAAGCTTTTGTGTGAAGACAGATTGAAAAAGATTGTGAAACATTTACTTTTAAAAGGGACATGAGAAAGGTATCAAATTAAAGAACAGAACAGAGACAGCAGATCAAGAAGTTCAGTTAAATTGGAAGGATACAAATGTAATTAGCTTGTTAAACTCATTGCCACACAATATCATAGAGGACAGCAAAATTCAACAGAGGACTGGACATCTCTATGGTCAGTAAGGACATCCAGAATTCCATTAGTAAGGTTTTTCAAAAACAAGTTTAGCTAAATCTTGGTTTATAAGCCAACCTCTACTTGCAGGAGTTAGGAAGTAGCTTTCTGTAAGAGCACGTTAATCCTTTACTGTCTACTATAGGGCTTCTTATACCTCTCTCTAAAGCATCTAGTACTAGCCATTGTAAGAAATACAATATTGGACTAGATGGACCACCAGTGTAATCTGCCATGGCACTTGCTATATTCCCATTATAGACTATAGAACAGTGATTCTCAAACTTTTTTTTTCGTAGACCCCTTGCAAATTGCTGAGGGTCTCAGCGGGCCACTTAATGATCCTCCAAATGTTTGTACCGTTAGCTAACTATTGTAAAGCGCTTCGGATAAAAGCGCTATATAAAAAAAGTTATAATAATTAACTTTTTTGGTTCTACAAATAAAAGCACACAACTCATATTTTAATATCAGTAGCCTTACCTTTCTATGCGATAGATGTGCCTTCTCTCCCTCGCCGTGGCAGCCCCCGAGCTGGGGCTGGGGCTGGGAAGGATGGGGGGTCTCTCCCCCACTGCAGCAGCCCCCGGGCTGGGAAGGAGGGCCATCTCTCCCCAGCAGCCACAGCCCTGGATCTGCGGAAAGTAGCCTCTTTCTCTGGCCACCGCAGCCCTACACATCCCAAATTCCCCCACCCCACCTTCTCACTCCACTGCCACCTGCCACCTACCCCCTATTCCCCTCAAGGCTACCACCTCACCTTACGTGTGCGTCTTCTCCAGAGTCCAGGCACCTAATTAGTGGAGCCACACCTGTGCGGCTCCACTAATTAGGTGGGTGACGCTTCATTTTCTCGTGTGCGGCTGCCCAGGTGCGCACCTTAGAGGGAACTATCTGTGGACCACCTGAATGGAGCTCCTGGACCACTGGTTGTCTGCGGACCACAGTTTGAGAACCTCTGCTATAGAATATGTATTCCCATGGGGGACATATTTTACCATAGAGGTTGGAATTAAAGTTTTGCATTCAGGTGGGATTGTGAGGAATTTGATGTTTGCATTGTGGCTGGACTAGAATGGCATTTTCTTGTGCAGCACAGGAGAAAGTGAGGATGGCCGGGTATTGGAAAGGTGGTATAGTATAAGAGTTGAGATTACTGTGATATCAGTTTAATACATTATTTTCTTGATTTTTAATTATTGCATTATTTAAAAATACACTGGCAAAACTAATGTAAAAAGTTAGGGACACTTATGCATGCTAGATTAACAAGTTCACTTTCTTACAGAAGCTAGAATAGGTGAAAACTTCCTTTTAGCAGAAAAATTATGCAGAAAGGCCATCAATTCAGGATATAGGCCTTCTAGATCTGATAAAATAGTCTATTATAGATAACATTATTTCAATATATGTATAGTACCTTACAGAAGGCTGAATGCAGTTATGTGCTGTCTTGTTTTTTCATTACAAGTATGTAACAAGTACAGTAGATTCATCATCAGACAATTTTGAATGTATACAGACAATGGCTAGGGGGAATTAGTTATAATCTCCAAAACAGGTCTTAATGTATCTATTTGAACTGAAATATAAGGACATCCCATCAACCCTACCCTTGTCTTCATGAAGCTAATCAGGTTTCTTAGATCTAATAATACCTCTTTTCTGCAAATCCAAATCCTCAAATTACCATCCACAGAAACAGTCATCTTAAATACCCTGCAAACCAGGACTCAATTTCATTTTCCTTTGTAGCAGAAAAGAGGTGATAAAGAATTAAGAGGCAGATAGACAGGAAGAGGAGATTTGTCTGGGACAACAACAGTGTCTGGAAGAAGTGGGTCAAACAGACCACTCAAATACCCCTGCCTCCCACTCTAGACTTTGTCTCTCTCTGTACTGCTTTAGCGTCTGTTGACAAATTTAAGACAGGAGACAGCTGTATTAGTTTGCCTTCTCCACATAAAACACGATTACAAAAATGTATTTATACATTCACTACAAATATTAAATATATTTTTCTTAGTCAGCTATTAATGACTTCAATTAAATCAGCTTTGAATTTCAGTTTATATTTTAGAGTTAATCATAAAGTTTTATACCTCCCAAGAACTGTCTTTCGAGATCCACCACAGACAATGTGTATCAAGCCCCAGCTATGATTTCATACTTCAAATTCACATACTGTGGTGCTTTTCACACAAAACCCAAAAGCATTTTATAAACTTTACAGATATAGAGCCCTGTTCACATGAGATCAAAGCTAAACTGGTTTTGAAAAGATATATACAATAACACCATGTAACTGCATCAAATGAAACAGTTTTCAAATCCAGTTCAGTGTACCCATGGAACAAATCAGCAAACAAAGTCAAATATAATAAACTCTTACCCACAAAAGGTTCAATTAGGATGGGTAACAAATTAGCTGGATTTGAAAATTGCATAGCACGAATTTAAACTAGGAGTTCGCAGATACTTTGAATAGAGTGGATCCCATCCAATAAAAAGACCATTCTGTGAAGTCACCTCCCCTTCCATTTGTGCTCACATAATTATCCCACTTATTTCACATTCCTGATCATGCAGACTGCCTTCTCTCCTATTTGTAATCAAAAATAATATTCCTGTTGCAACAATAGCAAATTACTTCTATGGAAGAGCAACATTAGGAAAGTATTTAATGTATTTTTAGCTCCCGTGAATTCAACATAGCACTTGCAAAGATAAGCCAGCACCATGTGACCACCCAGTTCTTGCAGACCACCGCTGTTTCACAGACCACAGCTTCAGAGTGCTGATGTAAACCCATTTCCCACAGATAAAGAATGTTATAGTAATAATGTGGCCAGGACTTCTACACATAGGAATAATTTCACCCACCTGTGAACTATAGCCATCACTGCAAGAAAAGTACCTGAACTCATTTTTCAATTTGGCCACAAACCTTCTAGGCAGTAAAACAACAGGACACCTGAAAGCATGGCACCCCAAAACAAAAACAGAAAGGAGAAAAAAAAAACAACAACCACCCACCAAAAGATACAGGTGAAAAAGAGGACACTATGGTCTATTAATCTAAATAAGATTATTTAGAAGAAAAGACAATTTATAGGTTATAATAGCCTAAGTAACATACAGAGTTGTTAATTGAAAACACTGCTGTAAGTGAACCATTAAGTCATCCAAATATATTCAAGTTCAACATTCTTGAGAAGGAATCGTATCAAAAACTAGCACAGTGACCCCAAGCTTTAGTAAGGAAGATTTTTTGGGAAAAAATATTATGTTAATATAGATATCATTCAGCTACTCAAAATCCAGTCCTAATGAACTCAGAAAGCAGTAAACAATACATCAGGGGAAATACACAATGGAAATTAGGAAGGGTAAAGAAGGGATTTGAAGAGCAATTAGCCAGATATGTTAAAGCAACAAGAAATTCTCAGTTTCTCAGGAGGAGACACCTGCAAGAGAATTGGTGAGTCCTGGACTATGAGGGGGAAAAAGGAACAATTAAGGAAAATAAGGACATTGCAGAGAAGCTAAATGATGTCTTCACATCAGTCTTAACCCTAGACATACATTTCTTCAAATAATAAGCTAAGAAATATTTTTTTTAAAGTGATGACTATGTTTCTACTTGCAATTATTTGTGTAAGTGCTATTTATGAATGCACATAATTGCACATTAGCATTTGTGTATATAAATGTAGTGGTTTATATGAGCAGTTAATTGTGAGCACAAATTAAAAAGCCAGGTAGGAGACTATATAACAAAGGCCTCCAAACTTCTGACCAAACTGTAAAATATTTTTAGGACTGAATTTAGCACATCAACACAGAATATCTCCATCGAGTGTTATCAGGTCTCTATGCAAGCGTGCCACAATGAGTATACTGACAAACTTACCTACCGTATTTAAAATTCTGACTACAAGAAAGATGTTTGCTCTAATAGATATATAATTTACTATTATTCTTTTCATTATCATTGTAGTAAAGGGTGGAGACAGTTAGATTTTGGGCCCATCTTCATGATGATTTTGCAAGACCATGAAAGTGTCCTGATGAATGTTTGGGGAGTTTTAAAATGCACCGTTTAATTTAACTTTAATTGATTACCACCAGTATGGTATGCACTTGCCAAAAATAATATCATTAACAATAACTTAAATCCTGACAAATACAAATTGTACTACCTTCTTAGGGTCCATGTTGAATTTCTTCCTTCCCATAGCTATTTGCTTATTTCTCTGTGTAGTTTTGCTATTCATTTGGAAGACAAAAGAAAAAAAGATTATCAGCTGCTCTTGCTGAACGCAATAATTTAAACTCTCTGACTTTATTTATATTTTCAACTTTGTTTTTAATATTTTATTTTTATATAGTAAAAAAAAAATCATAGTAGCATAAGGCATTTACTTCCAAAAAGTGACAACCAAAAATAGTCTATTATTTAAAATCATTTAACAAAGAGGACCCACTAGTTATCACAGTTTCACAGGATCACAGGTATTACCTATGGAAAATTCTATCAGATCACTAAGTCCATCTTTCTGCAAGGGCAAAATAAAAGCTGTATGATATCTAAATGGATTCTGCAGTTCTTAAAACAAGCCAAGCAAAGATTTATAAATATCCAGTTTTTGGTAACACAAGCAATTTTTGTTTCCTGTTCCTGAAACACCTTTGCCAGTATCTTATTACTGAGTGGAATGCTTGTCAGAGTTACTTACCTTTCTTCTACACTAGTCAGATTATCAATTTCTGTCATAACCTCTGCTATTTCAAATTTTAACCTCTGCCAAAAGAAGGAAAGGAAAGTAAGTTAACCAACCAGTATTAAAGCATTTTTAAAGATATTCACTCTGCCATAAACAAAGTTAATGTGATCAATGTAGATTTCATTTTATTTATGAGTCAGTAGAGCTGTGAGAGAATTGCACAACCAGGGCTCGCTAGAATTAGTATTAAAAAAGAGCAGAGCCCTCTATTCTAGCTTGAAAACTCAATGTGGAAAAGAGAGGCTCTACTGAAAATCTTGCTTAGGACATCCTAACAGTAATATGACTAGATTAGCAAGGAAAGGAAGGAGGAGAAGGCCACAGATCATGTGCAAAGACGGTGAGCTGAAGATATCACACTTTTCTAGATGTGGTCCCTACTCTTCCCTTTTATTACCGGCCTTTGCAAAAATGAATCATAATGTGGTGAGGGTTTTCTGCAATAAATAGCAGTGGGATTTTTTGTGCTATCCAAACAGGAATCAATAAAAGTTGTTGCCCATTTGGGATATATGGTTTGAACTTTACACCAGCATTAATTCATAGATAGACATTTGTATCTTGTCACTAGAACTCTACTGGGCTCTCTTGTCACTGAGCTCTACTCAGACCATTAGATCCAAAAACCTCCTCCCAAAAGCAACTTATGCTGAGATTCTGTTCTGACTCTCAGTCCAAAATTCACTGCTTAGGGCCATCTCTCCTGGCCACTGATGCCAAGTTCTTAATCTTTCATAGTGTATTTCTCTTATCCTTTTTCATAGTCTCATTGCCAATACAAGTATTATAAGTTTCAGTTTGAAAATTCCCTGCTCCAATATCTCAATTCACTACTTCCCACAATCATCTCCAGTATTTCTGTATATGAAGTATTAACTATACAAATGAAGTGTATGTAGATACACACAATGTATTATACAGATTCAGGGTAAAATTTTCAAAAGTGCTTGAATGACTTAGGAATTTAAGGACTTGTCTACAAAATTAGTTTACAGCAAGTTGCGGTGTGAATCTAGCCCACACTAGCCTGCCACGGACTGACTAACTGTTTGTAATGTGTTTTAATCTATTCCTCTTTGAAACATGACTAGTTAGATCAAAGAGCATCAACAAACTGTTAATGCGTGTCAGCACAGTGCACATGAACAGTTAGTCTGCAGCATGGTAGTGCAGAACAGATTCACACCCCAGTTTGCGGTGAAATCATTCATGTAGACAAGCCTTAAGTCTCACTGAAAGTCAGTAAGAGTTAGGTTCTTAAATCACTATGTAAAATTTTCAAAAACGCTTAAATGACTTAAGAATCTAAACTGAATTAACTTTCAAGTCACTTAAGTGCTTTTGAAAATGTTACAAACAATATATAATTATAAATACATCATAACATATTGCTATAACATTAAATGTACTGAGGTAGTCTTCTTTGCATCTTTATCTGACAGATAAATAAATTACCTCAATATCATCAATTAGTTCTTTTTTCCTGCGACGAATGTTTAAAAGTTCTTCTCTCTCTTCTATGGAGAGATCATCCGGTACTGAAAATAAAGCAAATTTATATACTATTATCAATTGCAGACAAATTAAAGAAAAGCAATTTTTACAAGAAAATGCTTTAGCTAAAATTATGAGGGAAAAAATGGCATATACCCATTGTTACTGAACTTCCTCTTTATAAATCATAACTAAGGCAATTCATTGAATTAACATCACCCCCAAAAGATTCTAGTATTCAAAGAAAGCAATACAGCTGTTGGGGACTCATTATCATATAATGGGTTTTATGACTTGGGTCTACACTTAAGTGGCCAAATTCATAAAAGAAATAATTGGAATTATACCAGCGATGGGCCAAAGTTGTTCCTATTTTTTAAAAAGGAAATTCCTAAAATTACCCTATGTAGGTTTACAAAATGTATTATGACTTGTAAAGTACATACATTCATCAAATCTTTCAGGAAATAATTACAATATTTATATATATAGGCTCCTTATGGAGATGTGGTCTGAAATCAGCCCCAGGATACAGGATTAAATTTTATTTGGTTGCTTTGTATGGCAGGTACTGTACTTGCAATACTGCTGACATCTTTAATATCAATTACTTTTATCAGCAGGTAACATTTTTATTCATTACAGATAAGGACACAGTTGGAAAACATTAACACAGCATCTCATATATTCAGTGTTTTACAATAACATTTTTAAAAGTTTGCCATATTTAAAACAACTTCTCTCAACTGTTTACTTAGTTATACTGAAATAAGAGTGCTACCCTGCTGATAAAAGTAATTGCTACTGAAGATGCAAGCACAATGCTGTATATATCTGCAGCTGAACCTCAGCCCACCACTACTTCCCCTGTTGCCCTCGTCAGGCAGGAAACCTGAGGTATTGCTCCAATAATATCTCAGCTGTTTTCTGGGCAATCAGATTTTTCCTTGCCCGTTAGTAAGCATCCTAGGCAGGGGCTGCATCTCATTTGTTTGTACTACACTAAAGACATTGTCAGTGCTCAATAAGCAACAGTATTCACACTTCTTTCCGATTTTCATGTACTGTGGTTAACAGTTTGAATGCTAGCTGTTCTCAAGCAAATGTTTTTGTTTTAATTAAGATGACAAAGCAGCTTGCCTCACAAGTTCAGTAAAATGCAACTATTATAATAATTAACAAGGGTTCTGCACCAAGTGAGATGTGTGACAAATGTAGTAATTTTAAATGGCAAAAGCCTTCTCCTTTTCTAATGCACATGCATTTAGCAGGCTATAGAGACAGACCAGAAACAAAGATTTGGGTTTATTTTTAAATATATTTGAAATTTGAAGTATATCTTCTTCTGATAGTCAATGGTCAAGCTCCAATTGTAAAAGTTTGCAATTTTTTTACATATATTCTCAATAGAATACAAAATTAAAATGGCAACATTGTCTATAAGCCACCTAACAAGTGATCTCATTTAACTGTTCCAGGTACAAACATGATTATATTACTTTCAATTTAGGAAATGGTCAAGTCTTTTGTTAAAAAAAAAAAATTTTTTTTGCCTGTTTTTTCCCCTATATATTTCTCACTGGAAACCCATCCCCTCTTAAAAAATTTTCTCAGAACAGATACTGACACATCTGAAACACAGGATCATTCATTTTACATCAAGCTTTACAAAGAGATGTATTGTCTTTTACATACAAGTCTTAAGATTTAGAACAGCCAAAAATCTTGAGTTTGTTTAATAAGCAGTCTCACACACACACACACACGGGCACACACTCTTCAGATTAAGTTACTTAACTGATTTAGACTAATAAAAATGAAATGAATGTTATATAATCTCAACTATCAGAAAGTCAGTTTTTTAGCTGGGACGTTCACTCAAGTCTCCCGAAAAGTGTTTTTGCTGTGTTATATGGTTCCTCATTTTTATAGTTTGCAAAAACATATACGTAGTTAAAAAGTCACAGTTCCAGTAACAATTCAAAGCATTAATTAGATTTTAAATTAATGAAATCTAATGTCTACAATTTTAATTCAAAGGGTATAAAATATTTAGATATCCTACATAGCTGCTGCTTTTTATTTCACAGTAAATTACAAAATCATTACATTAGCTGACTTTATGAGTTCTTTACACAGCAGAATGTTGCATTAGTCTTGTTACAGTTTCTCTTGGTAGTTTCATGTTGTTTAATACCTGATTGAGAAAGTTAAAGAGTCAAATCTCCACTGAAAACTAATTAAACTTCTACTCTGAATTGACAGGACTTATGCCTGAATTAAGTACTGTAGGTTCAGGCTGTCCAGTGTAGGGAAAAGAATTACTCCATTATTTTTGTAGAATCTTCAAATATAGTGTTTCATTTCTTCTTATAGCTCTATAGCAGCAATACACAGACATGCTGTTCCCAGACACAGACACATCCATGCTTATATGATTAATGATATTGTCGCACAAGAAGAAAAGTAAAACCAAATGGATTCATATGGTTTTCTGCTGCACTGGGAAATCACAAATTATCCATTTGCCGGATGGAAAAGGAGAAAAATCAGCAGGGAAAGAAGATTCTAAACAGGGTAATTTAAGGCAGTGGTCCTCAACTTATATAGCATTGTGGCTCACTGTCAGCAGCCCCGACCCTGGACCCCAGACCCACGCCGCATGGGGCCAGCCGGCTGCCCACCCCAGATACCCAGTGGTTGCTCCAGAGCTTGCGGGGCCAGGCGGCTGCCCCAGAGCTTGGATCCTGCAGGGCTGGCCAGCAGCCTCGATCCCAGACTCTCACCATGTGTGGCAGGCCAGCAGCCTGGACCCCACCGTGCTGGGCAGCGGGGCAGCCGAGAACCCGAACCCTGCCATGCGGGCCGGCCTTTAGCACACTGCTGAGCTGGGCTGCACCAGTGTGCTAATTGGGCCACATGCGGCCTGCTAGACACTGGTTGAGAACCGCTGCTTTAAGGCTTGTCTACACTAGGGTTACCATACGTCCGGATTTTCCCGGACATGTCCGGCTTTTGGGGGCTCAAATCCCCGTCCGGGGGGAAATCCCCAAAAGCCGGGCATGTCC